CAGGCACAGATAAATCAGTTGAAGGAACTGATGGATGTGACTAATAATCTGCTATCAGTAACCTTTGAACGTTTACAGAAAATGGGAGAGATGGTGCACAACTACAGAAGAACTAATTTTCTCTGATTCCTGATAAAAATTCTGGAACAAATCCTTAAAGGATGGAATATCTACAAAACGAAGCTATGATCACAAAGAGCCAGCATGGTTTCATCAAGAACAGGTCATGTCAGGTCAAAGGGTAGGGCAAAAGGTTAGGAAAATGTTGTAGCTGTAGTTTACTTGGACATTAGCAAAGCATCTAATAAAGCCAGGCCATTCTTGTGGAAAAGATGGTGAGAAATGTGCTGGACAACATTATAGTTTGGTGAATTCAGGATCAGTTGAATGATCATTAATATATTGATATATTAATATATTAAATATCATTAATATATTGATGTCACTGGGGAGGGAGGTGTCTAGTGCAACGTCCCAGGGTTCTCTTCTTGTATCAGTGTTGTTTGTCCTTCGAATCTTTGTTTGCTAAAAATGTTAAAGGCATAAATGTCATACTTCTCAAATTTGCAAACAATACAAAGCTGAGGATAGGTAACATATTTGATGAAAAGAAAGAAAAATATTTTGATAGGTTAGAATTTGTGGCCAAATGAAATATAATAAGGATAAATATAATATCTTACATTTGTGTTGGAGGGGAGAGAAAAAAGAAAGAAAACAAACCAAGATGTGAGGGGTATGATTTTCAGACAAACAGAGTGTGTGCCAACAGTGTGAAATGACAGTCAAACAGTGCTGTTTTAGTCTACATTAGGAGAGGTGTAGTATCCAAAATTATTCCAATAAAAACTAGGGGTGCCACATTTTAGAGAGAATTTGATAAGCTGAAGAGAAAGTTATCTAGAGAAAGGTTACTAGGATGGAGAAGGGCCTCTCTGTTATACCATACAAAAATTAGTTGACGAAATTAGGTATTTAGCCTGGAGATTAAAAGACTCAGGGAGAATCTATAGTTATCTTCATGTGTTTGAAGGGCTGCCGTGTGGTAGTGGGATTTGGTTTTGTCTGCTTGACTCCTGAGGACAGAACTAGGAGCAATGGATAAAAGTTGTGGAGAAGCTGATTTTGGCTTTATGTAAAGAAAAACTCATTCATAATTAAAATGGAGTGAGCTGCCCCTATAGGTAGCATGCTTTGCCTCACTTATGGGTCTTCAAGAAAAGGTCTAGTGACCACTTATTGGCAGTGTGGTAGAGTGGATTCTTTGTCAGGTACCGGTTGAACTTGATGCTCCCTTCCAACTCTGACATTCTGTGATGATAAGATGTGCACATTTTCTTGAGAGTAGGGACCAGCTCTTCAACTTCTTTTACGTTTCTTATAATACTTAAGTTAGTGGAATGGATATCTGTAAATATGTGATAGGAAGATCAAGAGTATTGATTTTGTCCTTGTTCCCAATTGACACTACTCCGTGGACTGAGATTGAAATTGGTAGTGTATAGAGTATCTGTACTTGGTATTGGAGTGTGAAAGGCTAGATATTCCCGTTGCATTTTATTTAATGCCTACAAGATAACAAACAACATTTTTAAATGGTTTGGAAGTGCAGTCATAGTCAGTGTAGGGAGTAGTGAGTCTATCATATTATTGTAGTCATCTTCCCCAGAATTTTACCAAGGCCCACAAATGTATTTGCACAAAAGATTGTGTATGCATCATAAAAAAAATTCCACATAGTTTGTGCATGGATCTGTCTGATTATCCATCTCTCGATTTTGTGCACGGATCCCTCTGATCATCCATCTCTCGACTCCATGAATTTTCTCTGGCTGTCTCCCATGCCTGGAATGCTCTCTCTCTTCTACCCTGACTACCGACCTACGTGACTTCCCTTAAGTCCCAACTAAAATCCCACCTTTTCAAGAAAACTTCACTAACCCCTCTTCATTATAGTGCTTTCCCTCTTTCAATTATTTCCTATTTATCCTATCTTCCCCATTAGAAAACTCTTTGAGGTCAATGACTGCCTTTGGCCTCTTTTTGTACCCCAGCACTTAACACAGTGCTTGGCACACAGTAGGCACTTAATAAATGTTTTTTGATTGATCATGTTTGTAGTCTTAAAATATCCTGCAAGTAAGAAGCAATTCCTTCAAAGAGTCTTCTCAAGGAAATGTGGTTGTATAATGTGATGCCTAAACTTGTATATAAACACCAATAAATTTTGTGTAAAAAAAAATTATTTATGTAGAAACTTTTGTTCTTAGACAGCTGCTCAGGAAGGAATCATACATGCATATGGAAATGGAACACCATTACCATCTAAGGACTACTGCATGCTATATAATCCCTATTGGACAACTCTTCCTACTACAATAGAAAATGCAGTAAGTAGATAATCTATGAAAATGAAGATACTGAGAGTGAATTTTGATTAGTTTTATAATATGCAGGGCCAATAGCAATTTATGGTGGGTAAGTAATGATAAAGAGTGATTTATTTATTTCATTCTCTTGGCTATAATAAAACTGTAGTCTGTAGAAACATCAGTTTGGGAGTTTCTTATAATTAGCTATAAGAATGAATTTAGATCAAATAGTCTGATTTGCAAGACTGATGTGTCAAACCAGTACTGGTTTCTTATCAAGTAGGGCCTTTTGGGGGTGGGGGGAGTGGGGTATTAATTACCATGTAAAGTAAAGATATTTCTTATATTTGCAGACTTCATTTAGTTTGGAGAACCTGACCACACCACTCTGCAACCTTTCTGACATTCCTTCCCCTGGAATAACAAACAAAGTAGTTGCAGTATCATGGGGCACCTGTGAGTTTCTGGAAAAAGCTAAGATTGCACAAAAAGGAGGTGCTAAAGCATTGTTGGTTGCCAATGGCAGTTTACAAGTAAGTATGAAAAAAATAAGCAAAAAGCAAAACCTGAAAAGCAGTATGTACAAATGACTACAATAACCTGAGGTGAAAGAATAAAAATCAGTTCATCAGTTAGCATTTATTAAGCACTTAACTATGTGCTTACATTGTGCTAAGTATTGTAAGGATACAAATAAAGGCAAAAACATTTCCTGCCCTGAGACAGCTTTTTTTTGTTTGGTTTTTTTGTTTTTTTGGTTAGGCAATGGGGTTAAGTGACTTGCCCAGGGTCACACAGCTAGTAAGTGTTATGTGTCTGAGGCTGGATCTGAATTCAGGTCCTTCTAAATCCAGGGGTGGTCCTCTATCCACTACACCACCTAGCTGCCCCGATGGAAGGTATTCTTAAAGGAGAAAGCTGTAGTGGCTGGGGATGGGGAAACCAAGAAAGGCTTTTTGCAGAAGTTGCATTTAGTGAATGCTATATTACTTTGGCCCCAAAATTTGGCCCAAAAATGAGATATGAAAACATACCTCGCTCCCTTCTTTTTGGAAGTAGAGGACTCTGGGTGTGTAATACCATATATACTATCAGACTTAGTTGACATATTGGTTAATTTTGCTGAACTGCTTTTTTTTCTTCTTTGTTATTACAAAGAATCTGTATGAAGATTTTGTTATATATTTATTGTTTCTTTGTTTCTGTCTTTAACTTATTTGGAGCATGTGACTAGTAATGGGATCATGGCATGAAAAAAGTTATGAACAGTTTAGTCATTTTTTTCTACATAATTCCAAAGTGATATCCAGAGCAGTTAAACCAAATTTACAGTGTTATCAGTAGAATCACCTGTCTTCCCATACCCCCTCTACCATTGACTGTTCCCATTTATTTCTGCAAAATTACAGTGTGAGAGAAAATATCACAGTTGTTTTCATTTGAATCTATCTTACTATTAGTTATTTGGAGTATGTTTTCACATGGTGAAAGTATTTTATCATTTGCAGTTTTTAAAATCTTCATGTCCTTTGATCACCTATCTACTGGGAAGTGGCTATATAGTAATATATATTTGTACATAATCCCATAATCTTGAACATTAAACTTTTATCAGTAATGTTTGATGCAAAGATTTTTTTCTCACTCTAGTTTCTCTTCTTATTCCATCCTCATTTATTTTACTTATGCAAAAGTTACTAAATTTTATGTAATTGAAATCACCAATTTTGTCTTTTATAATATCCTTTATCCTTTGGTTAATAATTCTTCCCCTAGCTTCAGTTGCAAAAGGAATTTCCTGTTATTGTCTTCTAATTTTTTTTAATGATTTGACCTTTTAAATTCAGGTCACATAACATTTTGAGCTATGATGAACTAAACATAATTTCTCTCAAATCCCTTTCCATTTTTCCCAGCAGTTTCTGCCCATCCCCAACACCCTCCAAAAAAGTAATTTACATTCTTGGGTTTATTAAGTACTGGGCTTCTGTTTTCAATTTTTTGTTTATTAGTTTTTTTGTTTTTGCTTATCTAGCCTGTCCCATTGATGTATTTTAATCAATATGAAGTAGTTGTAATGACTACTGCTTTATAATTTGATGTCTAGTAATATTATGCTCCCTTCATCTGTGTTTTTTCCCACAGGATTTGCCTTATGAGTCTAGATTTCTTTCTTCCTCCTCAAGGAATTTAGTTCATCTAGTTTGAAAAAAATTATCTTCTCAGTAATTTTCTTGGCAAATCCCTTAATCTGTGAATTAATTTAAAATAGTATTATTTTTAATACATTAGCACAGCCCAACCATAAACAATGAATATTTCATTTATTTAAATCTCCTTTTATTTCTATTGAGTGTTTTGAACATCTTTTATTAATGTGAATGTTGTGTATGTGTTCCCAGATAGTCTATGCATTTTGTAGTTATTTTGAATGGGATTTACTATTTTTGTTAAAATTGTATGAAAATGTCGATTGTGTGTGTATTTAGTTTGCTTACAGCCATTTTGCTGAAATTTCTAATCCTTTCCAATAGTTTGCTGATTCTCTGGGGTTTTCTAAGCATACATTGTGAGCATTTTTACCAAATTCCTTGACTAACTTTCTCCACCTATTTTAATGCTTGTGGAATCAAGCAAATTTTATATAAACTGAGATTAATAAGGTTATTTCCTTTTTACGCTAGTGATTTGGTATTTATATTATTAAAACTCATGTACAGTATTGGTAATCAAATTGGGGAAACACTTATAGTTTCAGTACTTCTGTTTCTAACATTCTAGTACAACCTCATTTCCTAAGAATAATAGTAGTTCTCCACTTTGTAAAAGGATTTTGCTCAGCCTGTTTCATTCTCCATTGTAATCATAGAGTACAGATTATAATAATATTTTTTGGTACACAAGAATTTTGATGATTACAAAATACAGCATTTGGCCCCAGAGTATGTTCATAATTTCAAAATTCTTATCTACCAGAGTAATATAGATTATAATTTCCATTACATTTTAATGCTCATTTCTCTAAGATCATTGAGTATGAAGTTTAAAAAAATTTGGAATCAACTCTGTGTATGATGTAAATATGTTTTTGTCATAAGAGAATTTGAAGTTACTTTTTTGAAGTTTTGTTTTTTCAAAGAAAATTATCATTTACATAACATTTCATTAATATTAACAAATAACACACAACACAGTGGTGTGGCACTCAAATTGTAAAGCATTTTTGCTTAATGATTTTTAATCAATTGCTTATTACTTCTTTACTTCAGATATATTTTTGTAATACATTTTCTTTTTTAGTTTCCTCCAACAGGAAACAAATCCGAATTTCAAGATGTGAACCTATTGATTGCATTTATGACTAACAAAGATTTGAGAGATATGCACCAGGTAAGTTAGTTATATTATAGTGTATATTTTTAATGCCACTGAAATCTAATTTCAATAGCTTTTTTTTTTCAGTTCTGTGATATGTGATGATTGAGGTAATGTGATATGACATAAATAAGAATGTTAGGTATGTCAGTAGATAAAGCACTAGATGTGGAATCAGGAAAACTTGAGTTCAGGTCCAGCTTCAGACACTTTCTAGCTATGAGACCCTAGGCAAGTCATTTACCTCTGTCTGCCTCAGCTTCCTCATCTGTAAAATAGTGATAATACTAGGACCTGCCTCCTTGGCTTGTTGTGAGGATAAAATGAGATAATATTTGCAAAGTGCTTTGCAAACCTTAAAGTGCTATATGAATGTTAGGTATCGTTAATATTATTATTAATGGAACAACAAAGAATCCAGAGTACCAAGCCTGGAGTTATTCACGCTGTGTTTGAAAAAACTCTCACTTGATTTGATCATTCCTGCTACCTGTCATCCTATATCTTTTTCCTTTCGTGGCTAAACTCTTTGAGAAAGCCATCTGCCTTTGATACCCCTACTTCCCTTCTTCTCATGTGCTTCTAAACCCTTTGCAATGTGACTTCTGATCTTATTATTCAACCAAAACTGTCATCTCCAAAGATACCATTGATCTCTTAATTGTCATGCAAGTCCTTTTCTTAGTTCTTATTCTCCTTCACCTCTTCGTGCCATTTGACAGTGCATGCCTTTTCTTCTTGGATACTCTTTCCTCCGTAGGCTTTTGTGACACTTCTCTCCTGGTTCTCCTCTTATTTATCCAGCTGCTCCTTCTCAGTATCCGTTGCTGATTCTTCATCTATGTCATGCCCACTAACTGGGTATCCTCCAAGGCTCTGCCCTGGGTCATCTTCTTTTCACTCTATTATTATCTCATTTAGTAATCTCATCATCTCCCATCGGTTCAATTATCATCTCTGTGCAGATGATTCCCAGATCTCTATATCTATCCGCAGTCTGTCTACAGAGCTGTAGTCCCACATCTCCATTGACCTCTTGAACATCTCCAACTCGATGTTCCAAAGACATCTCAAACTCAATGTGACCAAAACAGAAGTCCTTATTTTTCCCACGTTTTCCGTCATAGCTCTCAAGGGTACTACCATCTTCCCAGTCACTAGGCTTACAACCTTAGTGTCATCTTTGATTCCTCACTCACACCCCACATACACAAACCACTGCCAAATCTTGTCATTTGTGCCTTCACAACATCTCCCATCTGTATCCTCTTCTCTCCATTAATACAGTCACAGCCCTAGTTCGGGCCCTTATCACCTTCCACCTAGACTTCAACAGTTGCCTCTAACCACTCAAGTCTCCTTGTTTCAAGTCTCTTCTTGCTCAAATTCATCTTCTGCTCAACCATTAAAATGCTATGTTACCTTCCTAACTCAATAAGTTCCAAAGGCTCTCTCTTACCTCCAGTATCAAACATAAAGTCTTCTACATGGCATTTAAATATCTTCATGACCTGGGCCCCTTCTATCTCTCCAGCCTTCTTACATCTTACTCCTTTCCCAGTACTCCCAACATTTCCCTACTTGCAGTTCCTCGCACATGACAGATTCTCTCCTGGCTCCATGCCTTTGCATTTGCTATCCCCTATGCCTGCAATGCTCTAGTCTTTCACCTCTGCTCCTTCCTTTTTCTTACTTCCTTTAAGATTCAGTTCAAATCCTACTTTATGTGAAAGGGCTATTCCCATCCCTCCAGTTTCTAATGTCGTCCCCTTTCGGATTGCCTTCATCCACGCTTTTGTCACCCATTAGAATGCACACTCCTTAAGAGCAGGGACTCTATTTTTTTTTTTTTTGCCTTACTTTGTAACCACTGCACTTGACTCAGTACCAGACACATGGCTAGCCTTTAAATGCTTTTTGACTGACTGAATCCTGGCTCTGCCCCTTAATCTGAATGACTTTGGGCAAGTCACTTAACTTCTCTGGGGTTCAGTTCCTTACTTATAAAATGAGGGGCTTGACTTAGATGACCTCTAAGATTGATACCAGTTCTAGATCTGCTATCCCACGACTTTTTTCCTCTAATACTTTTTGGCCAATAGCTTAAAACCTTCCTTAGAACAGTTTTTAGACTTTCACTTCCATTTCACCCATGCTTTTCATGGACTTCTTGGATGATGTGAGGCACTTGAACAAGTGATAGCTATATTATCAAGTCCAAAATTTTAGGGTGATTGTCTTCTCAGCTCAAATGAACTGAAAAGGACTAATAATAGTAACTGGAAGAGAAAGCCCAGGTGGCCTGGTGCTTAGTAGTGGCACAGAATCTGCATTTCACCTCCTCTTTTTAACCAAATTGAAGATTCAATAAGAGTAGGAGAGATTGTTGTCTTTCAGATAGAGGGAAGGGAAAATCCAGTCATTCTCCAGGTCTTGAAAATTCATGAAAGGCAAGATGGACAAGTTTTTGACCAAGGAAGACAATAATGCTGTTAATGATCCAGGCAAAAGCAATTCTGACTACAGAAAAATGTTGTGGTAGGATGAGCAAGAGGATTTGTTCTTTGTATTGGAAATTGTGACAATCCTTATGAATGACTATCCTAAATTTAAACATGCAATCCTTTTTTTTACTGGCTTTATTTATGCTGGTCCATCAATAGTAAGATATCTGCCTTATAGCTCCTAAGGAAGATGCTATTCTTTTTCTTACAAAATGTTTGAAGTAGATCTTAGTCTGTGAAAAGTGGAAGTGGGCAACAGATTTTAATGCTTCTTGGTCACATTGATTTGAATTAGTTTATAAGTTTTCACTGCAGAGTAAAGGTATGCACCTGTATACACACACACAAGGAATTTCAGCCACAGATTCTTTCATATATTCTCATTCCACATTTTAGCGTTTTTGTATGTCAATGAACATTCTATATTAAAAGGTTGAGCTTTGCAAAGCTTTCAGTGTTTGTATTTTGTAAATTGTAAATTGTATTTTGTATTTTAAAATGACGACAGAACTATGCAAATAATTCTATAGCTCAGAATAAGTTTGAAACTTTGCCATTCCTTTTGATAATAGGAATGATACTGTCCCTGAGAGCAACGTTCTAAGGGCATCATAAGTCTTATCTTTTGAAAACTTTAAATAAAAGACTTTGCTCTTTGGGGAAAAAAAAAGAATAGTTATAAGCATTTCTCTCTTCCTTGCATTTTGTGAGTTGCTTCTTCATTTGCTTTTTATCTCCTACTTGGCCACTATTTTATCAAAATATGCAAATCATTGCAATCTGGCTGAAAATATTCATTATGGTAAAATTTCAAGTTATAGCATCAGTAAGGTAGGTATATTGAAAGAATATGGGGGAAAGTAACTTTTTCTTTTTTTTTTATCAATTTTTTAAACATTAATTTATTTATTTTTAGTTTTCAACTTTCACTTCCACAAGATTTTGAATTCCAAATTTTCTCCCCATCTCACCCCTCCCCCCACCCCAGATGATGTGCATTCTGAATACCTCTTCCCCTAATCTGCCCTCCCTTCTATCACCCTCCTCCTCCAAGCATTCTTGATGAAAAGTGACTTTTTCTTAACGTGTTATGTGATTAGACATTGTAGCTACACTAGCCAATGTAGCTTGATTAATTTTTAGTGGCAGTAGTGAAACCTGGTATCTGCCCTGAGAGATTGGATCTTGGCTCCCATACTTACCAGCTATGTAACCTTAAGCCAATCATGTAACATCTCACAGCCTCCCTTTAGCTAAAAAATAGTGACTTGCACTACCTATTTCAAAAGGTTATTGTGAGAAAAGCACCACATAATTGTGTTATTTGTTATATATTACCAAACTTGTTAATCTACTCATTGACATGGGGGCTAGGAACCTTAACTGCTTTGAAAGGAACTACCCATGCTTTGGGAACTCTCCTTAAACTCCTTAATGTTGTTGCCTTCCCTTTGAGACTCCCTCCAGTTTGTCCTGTATAACATCCTGTGTCTTCATACCAAACTGATATCTCTACTGAAACAAGTAATCCATTTTGAGACCCATTCTCCAGTTGAAATATAAGATCAATTAAAACAATGTAAGAACATAGACCCTGAACTGGGTAACTTCAGATACTGGATCTGGAAAAAGATTGACCCAGAGAGACATATTTTTTTTAAATAATGAATTTATTTATTTTTGCTTTTCAACATTCACTTCATAAGATTTTTAGTTTTAAAAATCCTCTCCCTTCCCCAAGATAGCATGCAGTCTGGTATAGGCTCTATTTATACATTCATATTAAACATATTTTCACGTTAGTCATGATGTAAAGAAGAATTAGAACTAATGTGAGGAACCGTGAGAAAGAAGAAACAAAACAAAACAACAAAAGAAAAGGAGAGCAAATAGTATGCTTCCATCTGCATTCAGACTCCAAAGTTCTTTCTCTGGACGTGGATAGCATTTTCCATCGTGAATCTTTTGGAGTTATCTAAGATCCTTGCATTGCTGAGAATAGCTAAGTCTGTCAAAGTTAGTCATCATAGAACGTGGCTGTTACTGTGTACAATGTTCTCTTGGTTCTGCTCATTTCACTTAGCATCAGTTCTTATGAGTCTTTCCAGGTTTTTAAACAACATATTGTAGGATTGTGGCTCTTAATCTACTCTGCTATCCACTTCCATTTTATGGGAGAGTCATCCATTCACAATTACAGTTATGATTACTCTCTGTGTCTTTCTCTCCATCGTATTTCCCTCCTGTTTATGCTTTTCTCTCTCCTTTCTCTCCTCACTAGTTTTGCTTTTGACCACTCAGTCTACTCTCCCTTCTATCAGCCCCCTCCCTTTTTTTCCCCTTTACCCTTATTACTTCTTCTCTCCCTTCTATAAACCCCTTCTCTTTTCTTTTCCCTTCCCCCTCCTATTTCCTATAAGGTAAATTAGACTTCTATACCTAAATGATTATATTATTCCCTCTTTGAGCCAAATCTGATGAGAGTAAGGTTCAAACAATGCTTATCTCCCT